AAGGTAATGAAGAAGTGGTAGAATGAAGGTAATGGTAGTAGTTGTAGAAGGAAGGTAATGAAGTAGTGGTTGAAAGAAGGTAATGAAGTTGTGGTAGAAGGAAGGTAATGAAGTAGTTGTAGAAGGAAGGTAATGAAGTAGTTGTAGAAAGAAGGTAATGAAGTTGTGGTAGAAGGAAGGTAATTGTAGGCTGGTAAAAGGAAATGCAATGTGAAGAAGAAGGAAGGTAATGAATGAAGTAGAGGAATGCAATGGAAGAAGCTAGAAGCTTAAATAAAGAAGAAGTTGGTGAAGGAAGGTAATGAAGTAGTAGAATGAAGGTAATGAAGTAGTTGTAGAAGGAAGGTAATGAAGAAGTAGGTAAGGAAGGTAATAAATAAGGTAGAATGTAAATGAAGAAGTTAAAGAAAGATAAATGAAGAAGAGAAAAAGGTAATGAAGAAGTGGTAGAATGAAGGTAATGAAGTAGTTGTAGAAGGAAGGAATTAAAGAAAAGAAGGTAAATGAAGAAGTTGTAGAAAGAAGTGCAATAAAGAAAGTTGCAGAAGGAAGCAGGTAATGAAGAAGCTGGTAGAAGGAAGGTAATGAAGCAGTTGCAGAATGAAGGTAATGAATTGAACAGGAAGGCAATGAAGCTAGTTGAGAATGTGAAGGGCATGAAGTTGCAGAAAGAAGGTAATGAAGAAGAGAATAGAAGGTAATGAAGAAGTTGTAGAAAGAAGGTAATGAAGTAGTTGGTAGAAGGAAGGTAATGAAGAAGAGAAGAAAGGTAATGAAGAAGTTGTAGAATAATGTAAAAATGAAGAAGCAGAGAAGTAATGAAGAAGTTGCAGAAGGAAGGTAATGAAGTAGTGGTAGAAGGAAGGCAATGAAGTAGTAAAGAAGGTAATGAAGAAGCTGGTAGAAGGAAGGTAAATGAAGAAATAGTAGGAAGGTAATGAAGTAGTTGTAAAATAAATAAGCAAAGAAGTTGTAGAATGAAATAAGTAATGAAGTTAAGAAGAATGAAGGCAATGAAGCAAAGCCAGAGAATGAAGGCAACGAATAGGTTAAAAATAGGTATAACGAAGAAGTTGTAAGAATGAAAAGAATGAAGCAGTGGCAGAAAGAAGGCAATGAAGAAGTTGTAGAAAGAATATAATGAAGAATGGCAGAAAGAAGTAATGAAGGAAGCAGAGAAGGAAGGTAATGAAGCTAGTAGTAGAAAGAAGGGGTAATGAAGAAGCAGAGAAAGAAGAAGAAATAGCAGAAGGAAGGTAATGAAGCTAGTGGTAGAAAGAAATATAATGAAGCAGTTGTAGAAGGAATACAATGAAGTAGTATGAATATAATGAAGAAGCAGAATGGGTTGAATGAAGATTGAGAAAGAAGGTAAATGAATAATTGCAGAATGAATGCAATGAAGCAGTGGCAGAAAGAAGGCAAATGAAGCAGTTGCAGAAATAATGAAGCAGTGGCAGAAAAATTTAAAGCAAGGCAATGAAGCTGAAGTGGCAGAAAGAAGGTAATGAAGAGTGTGAGAAGGAAATGCAATGAAGAAGCTAGAGAAAAGAAGGTAGTGAAGAAGCAGAGAAGGAAGGTAATGAAGAAGGTAAAAATAGAACAATGAAGTAGTGGTGAAATGAAGGTAATGAAGAAGTTGTAGATGGAAGGTAATGAAGCAGTTGTAGAAGAGAAGGTAATGAAATAGTGGCAGAATGAAGGTAATGAAGAAGAAGAGAATAAATGCAATGAAGTAATGTAGAAAAGAAGAAGGGTAATGAAGAAAAGTAAAGAAGGTAAATGAAGAAAGTGTAGAAGAAAGGTAATGAAGTAGGGAAAGAAGGTAATGAAGTTAAGTAGAGAAGAAAGGTAATAAAGCATTTGAATGAAGGCAATGAAGCAGTGGCAAAAAGAAGGTAATGAAGCTAATGGTAAGAAAGAAGGCAATGAAGCAGTTGCAGAAATGAAAGGCAAATTTAGGTAATAAGAGTAGTTGCACGAAGTAGTGGTATAGTGAGAATGAAGTTTAGTTGCAGTAATGAAAAGCAATGAAGCAGACGAAGGAAATAGGGGCAACGAAGTAGTTGCAGAATGAAATGTAAATTGAAGTACTGGTAAAAGAAGGTAATGAATGTAGAAAAGAAGGTAATGAAGAAGTTGTAGAAGGGAAGGTAATGAAGTAATGGTAGAAAGAAGGCAATGAAGAAGTTGTAGAAGCAAGGTAATGAAGAAGTTGTAGAAGGAAGGTAATGAATGAAGTTGTAGAAGGAAGGTAATGAATAGATGTAGAAGGAAGGTAATGAAGTAGTGGTAGAATGAAGGTAATGAAGTAGTTGTAGAAGGAAGGTAATGAAATGATGCAGAAGAAATAAGTAATGAAGAGTGGCAAAAAGAATAAATGAAGTAGTCAGAGAATAAATAAGCAAAGAAGGAAATGGTATAAGGAAGCAAATGAAGCAGGTTGTAAAATGAAAGAACGAAGCTAGTGGCAGAAAATAATGGTAAATGGAAGAAAGGAAACGAAGGCAGTAATGGTGTCAACAGAAAGAAATAAATGCTATGGTAGAAGGTAAAATAAAGATGAATAATTAAAGGAAATGAAGGTAGTGAGAAAGAAGGTCAATGAGAAAAGAATGAAGGAAACAAGAAGAATGAAGGTAATGAAAGAATGGTAGAAAGAAAAGTAAATGAAGGTAGGAGAAAGAAGCAATGAAGAGTACAGAGGAAGAATAAAATGCCAGTGCAGAACAAAATAAAGCAGTAAATGCAGAAGTGAATAAAAATAAAGAAAGGCAGAATGAATAAGTCAAAAATGCAACTGAAGCTTGAAACAGAATGAAGCAAATTGAAACAGAGAATAAAAGTTCAATGAAGCTAGTGGAGAAATGAAGGTAATGAAGAAGGTTGAAGAATGAAAATATAATGAAGAGTGATAGAAAGAAGGCAAGAAGTAGTAAAGAAGAAGCAATGAAGCAAGGTAGAAAGAAGGTAATGAATTAGGGGAAAGAAGGTAATGAAGAGCAGAAAGATGAAGGTAAGAAAATAGTGGTAGAAGAAGGTAATAATAGTTGTAGAAGGAAGGTAATGAAGCAGAGAAATAAAGGTAATGAATAGAGAAAGAAGGTAATGAAGAAGGAGTAATGTAAAAGGTAATGCAGTTGGAGAATAATGAAGCAGTGGCAGAAATAAAATGAATGAAAGATGCAACTGAAGCAGCAGGAGAAAGAATGAAGCAGTGGCAAAATAAATGCAATGAAATAGGGTTGCAGAATGAATATAACAAAGAAAGGTAGAATGGTATGTCATAAAAGAAGCTGGTGGTAATGAAATAAAATGAAGAACAGAGAAAGAAGGCTATGGAAGAGTAAGGAAAAGAAGTAATGAAGAATGGTAGAAAGAAGTAATAAAGAAAGTGGGGAGAAGGAAATAAATGAAGTAGTGATATAGAAAGAAGGTAAATGCAAAGAAAAAAAGAAGGTAATGAAGAAGTGGTAGAAGAAGTAGAAATGAAGTGAAGGCAAAATGAAGTAACAAATAATGCAGAAAGAAGGTAATGAAGAAGCAGAGTGGAATAATAGAGCAATGTAGAATGAAGGTAACGAAGAAATGGTGGTAAGAATGCAATGAAGTAGTGGTAGAAAGAAGGCAATGAAGCAGTGAAATGAAGCTCAAATGAAGTATTTAATGAAGTCAAAAATTAGTATGAAAGCAAGAGCTAGCAATGAAGAAATAGAGAAGGAACAGTAATGAAGAAAGGAAGAAAGAAGGTAAATGAAGAAATAGAAGATGAAATGAAGTTAGTGGTAGAAAAAGAAGAATGAAGAAGTTGCAGAAGGAAGGTAATGAAGAGGTAGAAAGAAGGTAATGAAGAAGAGAAAGAAGGTAATGAAGAAGTAGAAAGAAGGTAATGAAGAAGTGGTAGAAGAAAGGTAATGAAGAAAGGTGAAGAAGCAGAAAGAAGGAAGGTAATGAAGTAGTGTAGAAAGAAAGTAATGAAGTAATGCAGAAAGAAGGTAATGAAGAAGTTGTAGAAGGAAGCTGAAATGAAGCAGTGGCAGAAAGAAGGGAATAAAATAGCTGGTAGAATGAAGGTAAATGAAGCAGTGCAGAAGGCAACGAGAAGAAAGTAGAAAGGCAATGAAGTAGTGGCAGAAAGAAAGAATGAAACAGTTGCAGAATGAAGGTTGCAAGGAAGCAGAAAGAGGTAATGAAATAAGCAGAAGGAAAATGTAAAATGAAAATATAGGTGGTAGAAAGGAGGCAAATAAAGAAAGGTAGAAGGAAGTAACAAGAAAGAATGAAAGGTAAATAAAGTAGTGGTGGGAAATAAAGGTAAATAAAGTAGTGGTAGAATGAAGTGCATGAAGCAGTTTCTAGAAGAAAGGTAATGAAGTAAATGTAGAGAAGGTAATGAAGTAGTGGTAGGGAAGGAAGGTAACATTTAGTAGAAAGAATGTAAATGAAGTACTGTAGAAGGAAGTTGCAATGAAGCAATGTAGAAGGTAATGAAGTAGTGGTAGAAATGAAGTAATGAAGTAGTGGTGTAGGAAAGAGAAAGCAATGCAACTGAACCCAGCTAACAACAT